CAACTACTATTATACTCACTTCAAAATATTTGTTTCCATGGCAAACATTCAATCTCCATCCAGTATTCCCTTCCATAGTTTTAACTATGCCTGTGAACAGCCCCATTGTTAATTCAACTGCCATGAAGCAAGAATGACAGATTATAATGAACAATAGCATAAATGGACAAAAGCTTAAAAGGACACGAACAAAATCTCCAAGTTTTTCCTTTCAATAAACATTCTTTTTAGTCAAGCCAGACTTAATAGGCTATGGAAAATTGAATAACTTTATTAAAGAACAATGATAAGCCATTGAAGATTTTAAGTAGAGGCATATTTTAACTAGGTTTTAAACAATATTTGACTACGACTTCTAATTTTATGCCCAGACATGTTCTAGGTTATGAAGTTCTAGTTGTAAATCAAATGTATAAGTTCTCTGCCTAATTAAGCTTGAATTATATCAGGACAAGACAGAATAACAAGCAGGTATAGAGTACAATGGTGACACATGCTTATAAAAAACAATGAGACAGAACAAAGGTACCAGGGGATTTGGCGAGTGAAGGTTTCTATAGCGTGACTGTAGAAGGTCTCTGATAACTTCAAAGCAGCGAGAAGAAACTAAGGAGAAGACAGGAAGGGAAGGAGTGGTTCTGGAGGAGGAACATCCTAGCAAGATGGGACAGGAAGTGCCAAAGACCTGTAGCACTGTCGCACTGTCCTCCCGTTGTTCATCAATTTGTTTGAGCAGGCACCAGTAACGTCTCCATTGTGAGACTTGTTGTTACTGTTTTTGGCATATCGAATACATCCTGGGTAGCTTGCCAGGCTCTGCCATGTGGGCGGGATATTCTCGGTAGCTGGCTGGGGTCTTCGAGAGGGGCGGAGGAATCAAACCTGGATTGTCTGTGTGCAAGGGAAACGCCCTACCGGCTGTGCTATCACTCCAGCCCTACCAAAGGCCAAGTTCAATAATTTAGAAAGACAAAGAAGTAATTGTTTAGGGCATAATGGGAGAGGGGATGGATACATCACAAAGGGAGTTGGTCAGACTTGGTATGCAAATCAGTTCCAAGACTGAGTTACTCTATAGGAGTAATACTCAAACGACTTTCAGTGGAAGAGTTACTGGCTCACTCTGTAGTGCGTTAAAAATACACAGAAGGTAGTTAAGAGTGGAAAGAGAGGATAATTGGGACTCTACAGCTATGGCCCCAGGGGAAGGAAAGAAAGGTGCCTAAGAACAGTGAGTGGAGATGATGAAAAATGGGAACAAAGAAAACATTTTTCTATTGCTGTGGTTGGAGATAGATATGAATTCTTGTGAGCAGATATTATTGGCTTTGCTATTTCTCTGATCTCACTATAGAATCTATCAGCAAATCCTGTCAGTCTACCTTCAAAAAGCATGTTGAACTGTGCACACACACACACACACACACACACACACACACACACACACGAGAGAGAGAGAGAGAGAGAGAGAGAGAGAGCTTGAAAAGATTATTATCCCAGTTGAACCACCTTCAGATAATACGAGACCATTTGCATTCCCAAATTTATTTTCTTCTAGGTTAACTTTTACAATAGATCGATTTCACTGATGTGAAAACTACAGCTCAAAGGGGTTAAAAACACACCAAGACACAGAGTCAGGAAACGCGTCCACATTTAATTGAACCAGTTCAATTCACAGTCTTTCTGCTGCACTTAGGATCAAAGAATACGTGGAAGAATTAGGAAAACGAAAGGACACAATATTTTCATAGCTCTCACACTAAAGCCTGAAATGAGAAGCCTGCCAAGGATGGTCTTAGAGACTTGAAATCACAGAAATTGTTAGAAATGGCAAGTTAGAGATCAAAATGAAAAGTTTCCTATGAATTTTCATCTTGATAACATCGCAAGCTTACATCTAGAGTCCTAAGTTTACATCCCCTGTTGATGTTAAAGCAGCTCAGAGGAGAGTTGATTCTAAGGATATTTTCTTTGCCCATTTTATGATTTTTAAGTATTTTACCACTTTCAAACTTTGTCTCTTAAAGAAGACCCTTATTAATTTGCACTCTTTTTTTTCACTCAAAGCCAATAATATCTACTCATTATTGAATGAATTTTGAATGACTTTTCATTATTGAATAATTTTTCAATGTTGAACGATTTTTCTACAGAACACTCTAGTAGAACACTTTGTGAAAACTCTCTTGATATTATTCTAGTCCTGAAAGGCTCATTCTGCTGAGTGCTCTGACGGAGGCAGCAATTCATCATTCACACTAGAACCAGAGGGGTGGAGAGGAATGGACAGAGGGGAAGAAGAATATAAAAAACTTGAGGATACCTGGGGCAATAAAAGTAATTTTTTTACTTAGTTTTGTATTTTACTGAATAAGAATTCACTTCCATTATGCTTATTATTTACTGGAAGTCACACAACTTTGCCTGTGTCCTAGACATTTAAGGAAGCTGCTTATGCCCTTTGTTAGTGGAACCGTGTGTAGGTTCTTCGTTTTGCTTCTCCCCCAGGGGGTCATATAACAGGCGGATGACACGCTATTTGTCCCTTGGTGGTGCTCCGGGGACAAATATTGCGCTCCTGACAGTGCTCAGCCCCAGGATTCCCATCTGCAAAGCCCGTGCTCAGCCCACTGTGCTCTCTCTCTCTCTCTCTCTCTCTGGCCTGACTTTCTTCTTTTAATGTTCAAACTTTGTTTTCTATTTTATTCTTTATTTGGCTTTGGTTTTAGGGGTTTTATTGGCCGCACAGACAACAAAGCAGTGCTCAGGGGTCTCCTGGCAATTCTTCACCAACTATGCTGGCAGCCCAGAGGGAGGAACTGAAAAACTAGTGCTGCTTGGCCCAATGCAGAAATCACTCAGAGCATCAGAGTGCTCGGGGTCCAGGATCACAATTCCCAGTGCTCCCGGGCCCCCAGAGCTACATAGCATCAGTCCCTGGCATTCCATCTGGTCTCCTAGCACCCAAGGTATGACCCAACCTCATCTTCGCCCCCCCACCGCCAACCCCCCCCACACACAAAAAGAAAAAGAAAAAAAGAAACATCAACCACAGTGTTAAGCATTCAAATACTAGGACCAGTAATGTAAAGAACCTGGAAAATGTCATTTGTAGTTAATAGTCAACAGAAATTTATTCCGAAATGACATAAAATGTTGCAATGATAAAAAAAAAACTTTAAGGCACTATTTTAAATATAAAAACTGACAAGAAAAGATGTCATCCATGATTAAAATGATTTGAAATCACGTTATTTCTTACAATAGATATTTGAGATATCTAGATATCTAAAGATAAGCTACCTCGATTGAAAAGAGACTTGAGAACCTTAAGAGAAAAGAACAGAGTTGACAGGAAATTAGCAATGTCCCAAGAAGGCACTGTGGATTTGGGAAAGGATGAAAATAAATGGCCCGAACCAAATATCAGAGACATCAGAGAGTAAAAGTATGCTTTGTTTTGGTTTTAGAGCTAGTTTTGTTTGTTTGTTTGCTTTATGGCCACATCCTGGGGATGCTCAGGGCTTCCTCCTGGCTCTGCACTCAGAAACTTCTCTGGTGATGCTCCGGGGGCCATGTGGGATGCTGGGGACTGAACTTGGGTAGGCCTCATGCAAGCAAGTGCCCTACCTGCTACACAGCGCTTCTGAACTCAAGAGTAAAAATATTTGAATAAATTCAATAAGATCAAAGCGACCTAGAGACAATGTTCAGAAAAAATATTAGTAGAAATAATTGTCCACATTGATTAAACATCTCAGAAGCTCATAGAAAACACATCGTAGATTAAATACAAAGGAAACCACGTTTAGGTAGATCACAGTCACTCCTATACTAAACCTTTGGTACAAACACTGGCTCTCCTCCTCAGAAACACACATGGAAAAAGAAATTGCTTGACATATTCATGTGGACATCAAAATAAATGTCTGTCAACTCAGAATTTTGCGTGCAATAAAAGTATCATTTAAAATGGGGATGAATAAGGAGGATTTTTAGACAAATGAAAGCTGATATTATATGCCACCTGAAGTTAACTCAAAACATTACAGCAAAGGACGTTTTTCAGGCTGAACTAAATGATACATAGCTCCTCATAGGGGCTCAGGATGTAGAAAAAGTGATAAATAGAAATGAATCAATTTTTAAAAAATTGCCTTTTCTCTTTTTGTATTTTAGAAACAACATTATTATAAGTAAAAATTACGTTTAACTGCTATGCTCATAAATTATAAATAAATGACCTCATTATAAATAAATGACCATAACATCATAAAGGACAGAATTAGTATCAGTGAGATTATATTGCTACTTTACTTTCTATAACTATTTAGTGTTAAAATATTGATTAGATTAAATGCAATAAATTCATAATGTATCTTATAATTTCTAAACAAACCATGACAGGCAGGCATCTGGAGCTACATCTAGGAAGGCAATAAAGAAATCAAACTCAACCATTAAGACACCCATTAACCCAAAAAAGAGACCAGAAAAGAAAGGAAAAAGAGAAGAATGTCACATAAAGATCAGGGCTAGAACAAGGTGTGACCTTGCTGACCCTGGCCTGAGTCCTGCCACACATCTGGTCCCCAGAGCTGCCAGGGCCAAGTCCAGAGGGGCAGATGGGCCTGAGTAGGGGGCCTGGCTTGACCCTCGGCATGGCTGACCATGGGGAAACAGCGAGTCATAGACACCAGATCAGCTATGCAAGAAACTATCAGCAATGCAGAATAATCATCATCTGGACAATGAATAAAAGTGCTTCAAAATGTGGAGCAAATGTGAGGTTTAAAGTCCCCAATGGCTGGACCAGGGCGTTCCCTCCCTGCACAAGGTGACCTCAGATTCCGGCGGGGCCCCTAGATGGGCTCCCTGCCACATCACAAGGGGCCCCCGACACCCGTGGGTGTGTCCCCCAACTGTACATAAACACTCCTCCTCTAACTAAGATACAAAGGGAAAATGTAATCTAGATATGTCAAAAACATACTCTAGTGCTCGCTTCAGCAGCACATATCCTAAAATTGGAATAATACAGAGAAGATTAGCATGACCCTTGTGCAAGGATGACATGCAAATTTGTGAAGCATTCCATTTGTTTGCACATAAATTTGTAAATCTACCACTGTACCTCATGGTGTTTCACTAATAAAAATTTAAAAATAATTACATGCCAAAATACAATATGAAATAATAAAATTTTTGTAATTTTCTAATAAAAATAAAATCTAGATATGTCACATTATATTTCAAACATACAACCTAGAGATTTCATTAATCTATATATGACCTATGTCATCTCAAACTAAATGACTGGCTCCTAAGTGATTATAATCTATTCCTTTGCAAGGAAAATAAACATATGTATGAAAATCTGAATTTTCTTTGAAAGTTGCTCTGTGACTTTGATATCATCATCTACGAACACAAATATTTAAAAACATAGTTCAGCAACAATAACTTCTTTCTGTAATGTTAGAAAATATTGAAGTTAGCTTTACTCTGTTTTAAATTTTGTTCCCACAAAAGCCTTAACATATAGTAGTAGCTGAGACTTTCACATTCACGATGACAGGCTAAAGCTTTGCCTTACAATTATTTTATTTGGATTCGACTTGTCCATGTCAAAGTATAAGCAACGATAAATCCTGACCTTGAAGACGAGCTCTCCCACCAAGCCGTTCCACGTCCCGTCCTCCTGGGGGCTTCCATACTTGTGGTCTGGGGCCACATAGATCTCATAGCTAAAGCCCAGGTAGTTCGATAAGGCATCCAACACGTCGATGGAGAATCCCTGGTATTTCTTTGGCTTCCCCAAGACATTCTCGGAAACCATTACAAAAGGTTCTTCCTGTATGGAGATGAGAGAAATCCTCAATGTCAGTATATTGCGCTTCTCAAACACAAGGAAGGCTTTATTCGAAGAGCCTCGTTTATAATTTAAAACTTGCTTATGTAATTTGAGATAACTTAGTACTCTAATTTAAACACCATTAGTGCATTGTACTATTTTACAATGTTTAATCAGTCAATTTCAAGTTATGTCTCATTTAATTACCATATAAAAATTTGATAAAAATGACTACAAAACTTAAGGGATCACAAGTTCATTTTTCTTGAGATTTCAGGACCTAAGATTTCTTCATAAAAGAAGCATAGGTAAGAAACCATGAATTTATTGCATATTACCTGAGATAATTGTTATCCACCTATATATCAAAAGATATGAATATTTTACTTTATATAACATATAATCTTAAAATACAAATTGAATTATTTACTGAATAATTTTGTGACTTGGACATAAAGATATTTTTTTTGCAAACTAGCCTAATATAACTGTGGGAAATTCAGTCACTATTTTTGGTAAGTTGTGTAGTCCATTAAATCCAGCAAATTGGTTTCTGTTTCTGCTTCTATTAAGCCTTTTTGTGGTTTTCCCAGTTAACAAATAGAGTCCTTCCACTTTCTAGCACACCTGGTGTTAAGAGAACTAAATTGGTTTGTGACACAACGACAGACCTTCCTTTTCTAAACACGTTCAGCAATCTCTGAGCTCCTGTGATACCCCTAGACAACCATTTGTCATCTATGCAGTCTGTTTCACCCTTTGGACAGAGTAAAGTTTATCCAAAGGGTTTATCCTGGAATCCTTTATCCTTAGGGTCTAACAAAACCTACATGATATGTAAAATAATAGTTTACTTTGGGTTTTACTCTAACACACTAAGTGTTTTATAAAAACACTGAGTCTATTATAGGAACATTGTGAGGTAGAAAACTCGGATTTTCCCTAAAATTACCGTGCAAGGCCCCATAACAAACCCACATGACCATGAGATCAATTCTGGAATTATTTACAGTCAAGAAAACTTCATTGAGGTCAGAGCAATATAGTACGGCGGGTAGGGTGTTGGCCTTGCACAAGTCCGACCCTGGGTTTGATCCTGGACATCCCATATGGTCCCCCAAGCACCGCCAGGAGTAATTTCCGAGTACAGAGCCAGAAGTAACCCCTGAGCATCACCAGGTGTGACCCCCAAAACAACAACAAATAAAAAGTTTTTAAAAATGCAAAAGAGAATATTTATTTTGCTTTAGTAATATTCTTTTATAAATGATCCATAAAATTCAACCTCTTATTGATGTACCCCTTTCCATTTTGCATATCCATATGATTATTTCTAAGTTCAATGCCTACATACAGGTCCCTTGCACCTATATTTGGAATACCTTTATTTATTTACTTTTTAATTTGGAGTCACCCCTGGCGATGCTCAGGGCTTACTTATCCATTGCAGAGTATAGGATCATACGGGAACTGTGGATCAAAGCTGGTTCGGCCACATGCAAGGCAACCAACTATACTATCACTCTGGCCCTGGCCGTACCAGTTTAAATCTTGGTTTCCTGAACTACCAATTATTTTTTCTTTTTGAAATTAGGTGAAATCTATTTATACTCGAGAAGAAGATTAACATTCACACAGAAGGCTTTACTTGTGACAACACCTTAGCAGAACTGCAGACAAGGATTTAATGTCCCCATGGTGAGATGCAACAACTTTCACAAAGTTTTTTCACAGAAGTAATGTTTTGATCATTCCATTAGTCACTTCATGGTAACAAGCGCTATAAAATAAGTTGTTGTGGGTCTGCTACAGGGGTGGGCTTGAGGGGTGATCGGGAAATAGAGACAGTGGTGGTGGGAAGCTGACAGTTTGGTGTTGGAATATTGAATATCTGTAAGAAATCATGAACAACTTTGTGAAGCACAGTATTTAAATAAAATGGAAAAGTTAAAAAAATAAGAATAAGAGAGTCAGTTAATAATAGGTGCATAAAGGAGGTGACTGGTACTTGTTTTCCGTTGACTCTACTCATGTGCAGTAATTGCATCTATTTCTGTCTTGGTACTGCAGGGAATCAAGACCTGCTAAGTCTCCCTGTTGGCCAGGCCAGGGCAAGAGGTGCTTCAGAGTCCCAGGCCGACGCTCCATTTCTTTCCAGTCTGCATGAACACCAGGAGGATGTGTCTCTGCTAATCGGTTTAGCAACACATCCTGGAGAATCAAGACAGAAATGTGTGTGTGTGTGTGTGTGTGTGTGTGTGTGTGTGTGTGTGTGTGCGCGCGCACGTTTGGCTTGAAATGCTGTGTCAGATTCTCAATCTTATTGTCCAAGAAGAGAGAAACATCAGCTTTCTCCTTTCAGCATATTTTATGATATAAAATGGTGATAAAATGGTGATAATTAGGGCCGAGAGATGATACTGCAGGAAGGGCCCTTCTCTTGCACCTGGCTGACCTGGGTTCATTCCCTGGAACCTAAGTGATGCCCCAATGCTACTGGGAGTGATCTCTGAGCACTACTTGTTATGGCTTAAGAGTAAATAATCAAAAATATGGTTGATAAATCAATAGAAGAGAAGTTTGGAAAATAAATATGATTTTTAAAATAATACCTGTTTAATACAAGTAACACACAACTAAAAGCAAAAATTCTATTGATCTGCTATTGTATGTAAAATTAGAACATCTTGATGGCTATACTATGTGCATGTTTAAAATAGGTTGCTGGCAGAATTCAATACTCCACTGATTGAACAACAAATCAATTTAAAAATTCTATGAAGTATTCTTTGCATAAATAAAGTAGCTTAAAAGGTCATAAAAATCATACCTCATGATAAAAGTAATTCCAAAAATAAATACTACACTGAGAATGTACATAAAATAAGAAAATTATATATATAATTGGGCACTAAATGTCTACATTAGGTTGTAAATGCTGGAGCATGTAATTATTTCTTTCTATTGATCTCCTTTATTTTTATATTTGAACATCTGTCCATTAATATGGAAAATTACTCCTAAAATATCATTTTACTGGGTTGTCTACCAATAATTTTGAATCTTTTATATTCTCTATTCAGTCATAGCTCTCACAATCTAATAATTTTTTTAAAGTTTAGTGGATTAATCACCAGGAAGTTTAATGAAACTCTGTAAGGTGACATTTAAATAATTAAAAATTGATTAATTGCATTAAAAATTTAATGATCTATGTAGAAAAATATATCCCAGTTGTATGATTTTTTATTTGTACTGATTTCTCTTTAGAAAAAATTGCTTATTATACTGAACTATGTACTTTTACCATGTTAAATTTTTCCTTTAGAATTTAATCTAAATTCCAACCTTATAAGTAAATTCATAGGCAAATAATCTTTTTAATTTTTGTTGTCAAAATTTGGTCCTAGCAACATCAGCTAGAATTTATCAAAGGTAAAGAGACGGAGATTTTTATACTACATAAAGTTGATGAATTATTGGCAAACAGGCAGTTAAACATTTTATTCCTCAAATAAACAAACCCTTATTTCATTTACCCCTTTTATTTAGACTTTTAAATATCTTTAGAATTTTAAAAAAGACCCATTAGAGATTTGGATCAATACTTGTAAATTCTTCATAAACCAGTTGTACTCTTGTTTTTGTTGTTGGGTCACATACAGCAGTGCTCAAGGCTTACTCCAAGCTCCGTGCTCGGGGTTGACTCCTAGCTCTGTGCTCAGGCTTACTCTTAGCTCTGTGCTGAGGGCTTACTCCGGTGGGGCTCTGGGGATCATATGGGCTGCTTGGATTGAACCACAGTTAGCCACGTGCAAGGCAAATTCTCCACTCACCCCACTGGGCCCAGTAGCGCTAGTCCCCAGACCAGTTGTACTTTCTAAGAAAATCAGACATTATTTAGAAAGATAGACACAGTAGCAGAACTGGCTTCTGCTCTTAGACCTTGATAGAAAATGTAATTATTCTTTCCTTCTCAAAGGAAATACCAAACATATACGACTTATTTTCAAAATTTATTTACTCATTGACTCATCAACTTAACATACATGGTGAAGCTAAAGTATCAAGTAACTACACAAATTGTAGTAAGAGACTGAAAAAAGTCATGGATATAGCTTTAAGATAAGTAAAGCCTAGTTTGGGAAAGATGTGAACTTAAATATATATATATATATATATATATATATATATATATATGGCTAGAGCGATAGCACAGCGGTAGGGCATTTGCCTTGCACGCAGCCAACATGGCCAACCCGAGTTCGATTCCTCCGCCCCTCTCGGAGAGCCCGGCAAGCTACCGAGAGTATCTTGCCAGCGCGGCAGAGCCTGGCAAGCCACCCGTGATGTATTCGATATGCCAAACACAGTAACAACAAAATCTCCAATGGAGATGTTACTGGGCCCGCTCGAGCAAATATCATATATACAATGTATGATGTGATCATACGTTGTATACAATGTATGATGTGTTATCATGCATTGCATACATGATGTATATAATGTATATATAATGTAATCATCATAATACATCGTACATTGTATATATGATATATATATAAGTTCACATCTTTCCCAAACTAGGCTTTAGTTATATATATTATAATACATTATAATGTTATATTATATATAAACATATTATCATATCATATATAAACATATCATATATCATATATAAACATATTATCATATATATAATATATATAAAGCAACCGCCCAAAAGAAAATTCCACAGAAAACAAATACCTAGGGAAATACATTCAAAACTCAATGTATTCTTTTTAAAGAAGACCATATATTACTGCTCTTGGCTTTCTGCTGTTTCACAAAATAAGAAAAAATAGGACCAATCGGTTTAATACACGGTCATTTACTAAGAAATAGAAGAAGATAGAATAGTCCATCTTATTTCAATATTATTAATCTTAAATTTACCAAATTTCCAACCAATGTATGCAATTCTATTGGTACAATACTTGGCTCACATTTCCTGTGAT